AGAATATACTATATATTCTTAAAAAGTGATTTTATGTTAAGAAAAAAATACCTTCATTCATTTTTTGTAAGAATGCTTGTGAATGGTCACACATTAGCATGGTGGAAGTTTGAAATGTTACACTCATTTTTATATTGTGCAACGTAACTTTACAATGCACGGCAAACATTTTGGCATTAAAAAGTAAATGATAAACAGGATTTGAATTGGATCTGAACTTGGTCTCCAATTTTAGAGAGGTAGCAACTATATGCTGGTGAAGTTTCAAGAGCAATGGGTTCTGTACAACACTTCATGTAACAACAAACTTCCATTATGCTTCACACATATCAGTAGTAAAACATGGGGGTTGGTTCTCTACAACTTTAGGCCCTAAGCATGTTCTTATTGATGTAATTAAATTTCCAGAATCTGAAAATGTTTTTCACAAACATAATGCAATGTGTTCAAAGAAGAACAAGAAGTTAAGTGTGGAACCATTTCATAGTTGTAGATGGAAAAGCTAAATGCAATTATTGCACTAGGTAAATATTTTTTTTGGCTTTGTGAGATTGTAATTCGTGAACCAACCAATTGCCTGGTAATACTGATTTAATTAAGTATGATTTAGACATTGAAATCTTTAGTTTTTTCCCCTTATTTATAACAATCCAACTTTCTATCAACCTACCTTTATTTTAATAGTCACTTATATAAATGCTTTGTATTTATTGAAGGTAAAGGATTGATCCTTTCCAAATTATAAAGAAATCACAAAGCTATATAATAAGAATAGATGAGATTTTTCGTAAAATACAAAGTTATTATCATTGATTAAATTTGGGAGAGTGTGTTTTAATGGGTGATAACAATTATTTTTGTTTTTGTGTGGATAGGGATCAATGAATTGATTTTGGTATTAATGAATAATTTTGGTTAAAGAAGATAAAAGTTTTAAATAAAATATTTCTATTTTATTTATAGTTTTATTTAGTTGAAACTAATTAACTTATTACCAAGTTACTTTTACATTAGGTCGAAATCAAGTTTTTTATATGCATATTCTTTACATATTAGCCCAAATTGGGTGAATCTGCCCAGTTTGGGTGATTTTTCCCAGTTCGGGAGAATTGTCATTAATCTCTACTAAATAAAGTTAAATAATATTAATGTGCTACAGATTAATTAGAATACAAACCCTATTTTTGGTTATGAAGTTGATATATGGAAAATGAAGCTGTGGTGATCTTATTGCATTAATCTTAGGTGTCTTATGCTGAAAATCTTCATACCATTCTTTTAAATTGGCAAGTTTATTCTTTAATATACAAAGCACACATGCAGTTTGATGCATTAATCCATATTCCTCATTGTAAGATATACTACTTTGTGGAATAACAAACAGTGGCATCATTGGAGTAAGAGGTTCACAAACTGATTTCTTTGTGTAGGCAGCATCAGAAACTCCTAACCAAGGTCCTGCAATTTGCAAGAGAAATACAGAAAATTGTGATTTTTTAATAATGTCTGTTTTTTGGAACTTCTTTATGAATTCAGTATAATAAACTGTTCCTTGGATGTATGGACATCCATTTCCAATACCTATTTCAGGCTTTACTTCCATGCTAAGAAGCAAAGTTTCAAAGCTACCATTTATGAACATGATGCTACCATCAGTTGATCTATTATTGTCAAATTTGTATTCAATAAAAGTACTTTCCAAGTATTTTTCTAACATATTTTTAGCATAAAATTTCCTTTGTTTTTCTTCTTGAAATGGACGTGCCTCTGGCAACTAAATCATAAATAAATTTTGTGTCAACATCATCAAGTTCAACTTTTCCAAAGACTTCTTTCTGAAAACTATGAAATATTGGGTGACATAAACCAAGAGGCAAACCAGCAGCAATGTGTAGCCAGAGATTTAAAATAATAGCATCATTCTTAGTTTGATATTTTGTCCATATGTTGGTTTGTGACATTTTTGAGGGCTTGGCAATGTTTTTAGGCATTTTATATATTGAAGATGAGAGATATCTTCGTCTGCTTTATGTTTCCAATAAGTAAAAATATTGAGATGAATATATAAGGAAGTAATCATAAGAATGCAACAAAGAAAAAAGTATAAATCACTCATTAACATTAAAAAAACATATCACAAATGAATATGAAAATCATGTATATTATCACACCAATATTTGTTGTGTTGTGAGATCTTTACCTAACTGTTTTTCCAATTTTTTTATTCTTTTCTTTAGTTCAAGAATTTCCATTTTTGCAACTGTCAATTCATTAAATAAAACTAGAATGACAAGAGTTGCAAGTGGTAATAACTACTACCATTCTCATGATAAACACTTATCCAACGACTTCTACACGTTCGGTTTCTTTTTTTTTTCTTATTATGTTGATGATACATACTTTATGATGACTTATCTGCTAATTTTTCTTCAAGATTAAGTAATTATTTTAAGGAATTAAAAATGTCTCTTCTAAATTTTGTTATATATGGTCAAAATAACATTAATAATGATGTAAAAATGGAGGATTAAGATAATTTCTGAATAAAGGTTGGAGAAAAATTAAAAACTTTTTTGACAAAATAAAAAAAAATCACATCATATCAACCAATTTGGTTTTTGGACCTTTTTTCAAACCTCTATATCTTGTATATCTCACTGTGTAACCGATCACACAAAAGTCACATGGGGTGGATTTATGAAAGGAGTTTACATATGAGTGAATTGAAAAAAACACTGTGCAGTGCAGAACATAGAGGGTGTGCTTTTAGCTCTAAGTCCCAAGATCGGGACCGAGACATAGCATGCATTTATGGAGGTCTGACTGCGGTAAAATCTTACAATCAAATGACTTCTAATCCCCATTTAATACCTTTGCTTGTAGCAACCACCGCCAAATTTGAGATATAACTTCTTTATCATATGTATCTGTTTTAAGAAAATTTATAAAGCAGGTTGTTTATAAAAATGAAAATAATCTGACCCTCAAAGTCAAACTTTGCCTTTATATTCATATATGTAAAATTTTGTTTGGCGCGTCAAATTGCAAGTATAGGTAGAAATAAATCTCCAAATTACATTATTATGAATATTTGCAGATTTTGGCATGTCTTTTATAGTAAAATCATTTATTTTAAAAGTAAATATTAAAAATTTTCTTTACCTACAGTATATATGTAAATAATGTTTAGAATAGCAAACAAGCAACAATAATGATTAAATTAAAAGGTATTTTATTTCTGACTTTATTCATTTAATTACTTATCATAGTGATGTCATTAAATATAAGTTAAAATAAAAGAGAAATTTATATACATAAATATATAATAAATATAACGAGTTAACCAACGTTAGTCCTAACCTTGCTTGCTTGCTCATTAAAGCAAATAAAACGTGGCTTTTTACCAAAGCTCCATAATTGTTACCTACTAACTACACATGTTGCTTTATCAAAACGGTTTAAACAAAGAAAATAAAGACAATGTTTTTATTTTTATTTTTAAAAGTTTATTAACGGATTAATGTTATTTAATAAAAATAATGATTCTATCAGAGTTTTATTTTATTAGAATATTAATTATCTATTATTTTCCTCTGCGAGGACCAAAGTTATTTTGAAATTTTTATTGATCACTACAATAAGGATAAGGATGGAGTTATTATTGCAAAGTAACTTAATCAATCAATATTGATATTATAAAAACTTTCATTTACACAGTAATTTGATAATTATTATACTTGAGCATAAAGAACCGAATCCCTAACCGATGATTTTATCTACCCTAATCATGTATCACGTTATTAATATAAAAGACAATTTATGAATATTTTGGGGTAATTATAATGACTATTGGACGTAAAGAAATGTTGTATTTTTTTGTTTCAAACACGATATTTTAAAAAATTTCTTACTATTATTTTTATAGTGTTATACATCGTTATACTGCTTTAAAAAAAATGAGTGCTGATGAAATTTCAAATGTAATCCCTCGTGTTGTTATATTCGGTGGTAAAGCTGCTCCAGGTAAATTAATTAATTATCATCATCATTGCTATCATTAAATTTTTTTACTATTACTAATAATAATAACAATATTTTTAATTATTATTACTCACTCTATTAAAAGGATATCATATTGCTAAATTAGTAATAAAATTGATAAACAATGTTGCAGAAGTTGTTAATAATGATATAAGTATTCATGATTCTTTGAAAGTAAGTAGAATATAATTATTATGAATTATAATTATTGATTAAACTAATAATATTATTATTAACATTAATATTTTCTTCGCCCTCATTCGTTCATCCATCTCATTCTCCCTCGTTCATTCATTCAACGTTCCTAAATTTTATAGGTTGTATTTATACCAGATTATAATGTGTCAGTTGCAGAAATTATTATTCCAGCTTCAGACATTTCACAACATATTTCAACAGCTGGTACAGAAGCTTCTGGTACAAGTAATATGAAATTTGTGTTGAATGGTGGTTTGATTCTTGGAACAGTAGATGGTGCCAATATTGAAATTCATCAAGAAATTTCAGGTGAAAATATTTTCAGTTTTGGACATTTGGCTGATGCTGTTAGTGACTTAAGGCATGCTCATAGGTGTGTATCCACGTTTAGAAAAAGAGAGAGATTGGGATATTCGAGAAAAAAGATCTTGGAATATACATTTATAAGTTTTTTACGTCATTTTTGACTTAATGGTAGCGGATTTGACGCAATGGTTTTACAACTTTGGTCAATTATATATCTTTTTTTAATACAGCCAAACCTCGTTTCAACGAATTTTGAATGAAATTTTCTTAAATGTCTAGCCACTTTGTTGAAACGAAGGTTCGACTGTTAAATATTTGTAACGACAAACTCCTACGACTGTTTAAAAATATATATTTTATAACAATTACAACCGACAACGATTAAAATCACCAACAAAATTACAACAATAGCAATAAAAGTTCTTCCTTATAATAAAAATCACTTTTCTAACATGTTAATATATTTCTTAAGTTAACTTTTCCCTCTTTTTTACAACAACAAATCTACATATAATCAATCATGCGCACACATTATTTTATTTTTCATTACATCATACACGATATTTTATTTAAAACACAGAAAATCAAAAGAAAAAAAAACTGATAGAGTCGAAGCGCTTGAGTAAGTATTGTTAGAAGAGAGAAATTTACGATCTTTTCTAATAATTATTTAAAATAATGGTGGTGATGATTATTGAGCATTCTAGTCTATTTATAAATTTTGTTTTTTTATTTACTTGACAAGAAAGCAACAGAAGCAACATCGTCCACGAGTTGCTACTATTGCTATTATAATCGTAAATTGCATTCTTTTCAAACACAATCGAACCCGTTATAACGGATCTTGTTGTATTATTTGCTAGTCGCGTTATAACGGTGTTATATGTTTTTATATACAGTTAAAAGTTTGTTATAACACGTATTTAATTAGGTTATACTTTTTTATAGCGAGGTTTGACTCTAACTTAATATATTAATTTAAGATTGATAAATTTGAATAACAACAGAAACAAAAATTGATAAATGGTGTTTCATCTTTATTAGGTGAAATCGTAAGTCAAATCAATCTTTAAAACTTCTTTAATAAGTTTTGGAAACATCACATACTTTGGGCTTGATATAGTCAAATTGGTGTAGCTAAAATCACTAATAAAATCATTGGAGATGACGGAAATAGAGTCGGGATACATGAAGAGAGAGATTCTTTTAAATTGAATTTTTACACAACATTGTTTATATTTATT